ATCCCCTTGGAGTCCTTATGTTTTTTCCCGTTCCATTGTAACGATGTAACCATCGTCCTTTTTTTTTTGTCCTTTCCTTTTCCCCCATGCAGCTCCTTCACCCCCAACCTGAGCGCGAGTCTCTCCTCCTCTGAGGAGAGGTATGCTGCCTGCTGGGACTCCTTTGTTGACAGAGCGTCACACCGGGCCTGACACCGCGACCCTAAACCCGCTGTAACAACGCGACCGCAGTCTCTAAATGTCGCAAGGTTGCCTTCACTCGCTTTCTCTCCTCCACTGCGTACCTCCGCAGCACTGCGTTCATCCATGACATCAGAACCTCAAAGTACTTCGAGCCTTTTGCCTCATGTGCCTGACGGACAGCAGCAACCGTCTTCACTGCACCCGGCTTTCTAGCGTCTGACGCTTTGAACCTCCAGATCCCCGGCCACATGTGTAGTTGCAAGTGGACCTTCAGTGTGATTTTCACCCCAAACCAATGGTCCGAGAGCCCCTTCAACGGCTGGTAGTGAGATGCATCGGCTAGCTTTGGCAGGAGCGCTGCCAAGATGAGCGCGCGATCAATGCGCGAGCTGGTTTTTGAGGCTCTGGAGAAGAAGATGAACTCCCGCTGATCGAGGTACATCCATCGGTAAGCATCCGTGAGATAGTGTGCTGTGCAGATCTGCATTAGCCTATCGTTTTCCCTTCCTGATCCCGTCTTAGATGACCTGTCCAAGGGTGGGTCCTCCACAACGTTCAGATCGCCGATGAGTACAACTTTTTGCTTCCCTACAGCGTGTGCCGGGAACGGCTGCAACACTTTCACGAAGAAAGGACGGTGGCTGCAAGCTTTAACCAGGAAATAAATTGCCAGCACCGTGCAGCAAAAAGATTCTCACTTGACATCTGCTCAAAGCAGCCAGCCTGAGCAGTGCGAGACAATGTTAGACAAGACCAATGATTTTGAAGCTTAAGGTGGCTATCCCCCTGCCTTCCCTGCAGGACCGATCGCGTGACAGTGTGGTGCTTTGAGCGACTTCCTAAAGTTATGATCCGGGCCGATGCGTGTGTCAACTAAGGTGAAAATGCTCGGCGGCTTTTTAATCCATGCCTTCAAGTGCTTCTGTTTGCCCCTGCTCCCAGGCCCATTGACGTTGAGCTTGCGTATGGACAAGATGGAGGCTTTATTCATTGGGAAACCGTGCAGAAGCCCCAAGCATCCACGGGCTAGAAGAGACAGTGACGACGAGCTTATAAAATGCAAGTACATACTCAACAGACCCTAAAGACTCTACAATGACCGCTCCTGACTTGCTTTCCATTTCCCACCAGGTCACAAGCCGAAATCCTTCTTCAGTGTTTTGAGATTCATCTTCCCCTTTGCCATACGCAGATGCTCTCCCCCTTTTGGCGCACCGTGACAATTATGCTGGGAGAGCGTGTGGTGCACGACTTGCACAAAAGAGCTGCCATGAGCATTCGCGCAGCTGTCTGAAGGCACACCGACTCTTACTGATTTCCACTAGTGGAAATCAGAACCAACGTCGAATCCTTAAGGACTATCTTGGTCGTATCTATGGTAGCTGTTGCAGCAGCTGCAGGGCACACCTGTCAGGTACCGTGGCGAAAGAGAAACAGAAGAGGACGCAGCGACGGTAAGAACTGGCGCAACTACCATTCAGCTCATGAGCCCTCCCCATGGTAAGGTTCCCATTAGTGATGTTGTTTTGTCGCTCGACAATGAAATCATTGTGATTGTGCATTGAATGATGTCCTTGTAGACTGCACTTCAACGCCGGGTAGTATATCAAGAGAGTCTCCTCCGTCTTCATCGGTTCTCAATTTAATGTTTCCAACGATATATGCCCCCCTCGTGTGTCACCACCTGGCCTTTGATGTGGTTCGTGTCCAAGCCAGAAATGGGGTTAACCACACGGTGGAAACAGAAGCCTTCTTTAAAAAACGATTTCTTCTTCTTCTTCAGCGGTGCCATCAGGATCCCATAGCATTGCAGGTGAAATCTCAGCCGGAACGCCTTTGAAGTAAAGCTCAATAACTGCTGGATTAGTCGCCTTCTGCTTAACATATGCGGGATCGTCCGGGTACTGCCAATCAAAGGTGACGTACACCTCGTCCTTGCACTTATGTTCCACCTGATTGCGCCAGACAAAGTTAGCATCAGATGCCTTTCAAAAATAACTTGCACGCGATCGATCAACCGCTTTGACAGGTAAGCAGGTATGAGCACCTGGAGCGTAGTGGTGGTCTGTGCTTCGTTAGAGAGGTCCTCCTTCCACATTGCCAGCAGCGATTTGACAGTGACTTGGGTGCGCCTGACTTCATGCAGGAATTAGCTAGGTACCAAGAGAGTGATCGGGAACTTGGAACGCGATGCAAACTCTTCTTTTGACTGTGCATCTACCTCTTCATCCAAATCATAAGCAATGAGGCCATCGTCCTCATTGTTCAGTGACTTCCACACGGCAGGTGCCATTGGCTCATCATCCGCTGCCTCCTCTTCCTCTTATTAGTCGCTATTTTTCGCACCATTATTCACTTCAGAGACTGCATCCTTGAAAACTGCCATTTCTTTCCCTTTTTTGCCTTCAATTGCAGCTTCTTCAATCCGAATAGCCACTAACTTCGCGAAGAGCGTAGCCGATTCCAAATCTTCCGACTCAAAAGGGCCCTTGGTTGCTTCCATGACAGTAGCAGACTTGAGCAGAAGGCATGACTGAGACTTAGGCTTAGCGGGGGTCGTCGCTGGGACCGGCGATGATGCAGCATTGGTCGCAACAGTGTTCGTAGTTGCCATGGTGGCGTTAGTAACAGCACCAGCCTTAGCAACCTTCGTAGTCTTAGCTCTGGGAGGCATCGTGCAATGATGAGCACCAAACCACCAAGTCCAGTATGATGCTGGAAAAGAGTAAATGCTGAGCACGAAGCCTCCCGCATTAATAGCATTGTTGCCTGCATGTTGATGTTGAAACCTTGAGAATAGTTGCACCATTGACAGTGGCAGATTTAGTAACTTCTCGGGAACATCAGACGATGCAATCCCTGAACCATGGCTTTGTTTCGTGTTCAAGGAGAAAGGATAAATGTTCACAATTTGAACACTCAAAAAATATCCACAGGTACCCTGTGCGAAGGCGAACTCTAGAACGGGAATGTCAAGGTCTAGTTGTGACATTGAGTGGTTCCAGGCTCGCGGAGCTATCCATGGCGGATGTAAGGCGGGGAGCATTGTCATTGTCATCTTGTTTGGCATGTGCTGACAGATCGAGGGTAGACAGCTACTAACTGCGACGCTAGGGCAATCGCACCTACAACAGATGGCGGTGTCGTTCACATGGAGAATCTGTAAAATTTAGGCGGCACACGGTACAGAATAATTTACACTAGTTTTGGCTGTGAACACTTGTGTAGTGTATTTCCTAGATTCCTTAGTGCAATTTTCGTTTGCTCGCCACATTCGTAACAAACTAAACTTGTTAATTGTAATGAATTAGAATTCATCACTGTAGAGTCTCCCCTTAATGAGGACAGCCCCAAGCACTTCGCGTCAGTTGGGTTCGGCCTACAGTTTCGGCCCGAACCACTTCCGAGTCGCCCTGCACCAATCGCGACATCCCCAAATCACGCACGCGAGGCCCTCACCTAGCATGGATTCCACCCTATATCTACTCGCTCTTTTCATTGTATCTCACTATATAATCACGTTCTCATTATAAAGTCTTCCACGCACTCTGTTTAGTACAACTCATAACACTTGGTATCAGAGCTACTTTCCTAGCTCACCCCGCTTCTTAAAGAGTAATACCCCTCGGAGGGGGGGAGGAGGGGAGGGGGGAAAACGGTGAAGGATGCCATGGGATCCAGGAGCTGCGCGATAGCCGGCCAGGAGAACGGCCATGATTTTTTTACAGGCGCTCCTTCGGCACCACCGGATCCTTGCTCTTGTTGGTCAAGATCGACTGTGCCTCCCCCGGGGTGGTGGACAGCTGTGGCTGTCGCATAGTAATTGCGTTAGTTATTTCTGTCAATTTTGTTAATCTCGACGTTGTTTTTATGCTGCAGTTGGCGTCAGGCAGATTGTCTTCACTGCATGAACGAGATTTTCAGAGCAACTGTGGTGGCGGGTTGGCATCTTCACGTGGTCGTCAACTGCATGCGACAAGATCGGAGTTAGAGTTGAGCAGCCGGCCTGGCCCGGCCCAACCCGACCCGACTTGGCTGGGCCACACAGACCCTTGGGTCGGGTCGGGTCGGGCCAGATTCTTGAAACAGCCGGCCCGACCCGGGCCTACTCACTCAGGTCAAAGGGGACCCGGGGTAGGGTCGGGCCAGGTAGACCCGCCCCTTTAGAGGGGGCTAGGGGTGTTCATCACATTTTGTGTAATGTCTCTGTTATAATTGTTTGAAATATATTTTTATAAAACATTTTGTACGTCTACCAATGGAAAACGTGATGTTTGCATTGTTTGTTTAGTGTTTTCCTTGCCATGTACAATGGACTTTTGGTTGACAGACCAGGGAAAGGTCACTAAACAATGGTTTGATTGGTTTGCATGAAGGTCAAGTACACTATAAATTTGTCCGCTAATTAAAACCCAATGCGGCAACTGCAAATGCAAGCTACTAGACAAACAAGAAGGTCGCTACTAAATATAACAGTGCAGTACCTGGACAGACACAATGGCAAATGTCAACGCCCCAACTCTCCAATAGCAGCTGTCACAACCCCAACTGCTCTGCCTCAAGAAACAGCTACGCCAGCGTGGTCCTAGTGCCACCACGAATCTTAAGCCTCTGCCCAGGGTGGTGATCCTGCCAAGTCTTGATCATCATGGCCGCACGCATCTGCTGTGGGCTTAAACAATGCCTCTGCCACCAGATGATGTTCCTGCTCTGACTGAAGGCTCGCTCACTCGTCGTAGACGTGGTGAGGATACCCAGATAATCACGTGCCATGGCCCTAAGCCCGGGCAGCTGCAGATCCCTCCTGCGCCAGTACGCTAAGAAGCACCCACCCTCCTTGCCTCAGCTAAATACTGGTCCACCTCATCTTGTGCCCACACCCCCTCCTTTGCCTCCATCTCTACCAGCTCTGCAAACAGCCTAGCCTGAAAGTCGAGCACGCCACGCGACCTGGTTCCCCTACGCCCTGCTGGCCCACCCATTGCCGCGCCCTTCCTCGCCACTCCCCTAACGCTTGTGACCTCACCCCCAAGGCGTGCCTCTGCCACTGCACGGGCCGCTACCTGGTAAGGTGGAACACGCTCGCATACCAGCGCCTTCACCCTCCCCTCGTCCAAGTTGAGTGCCCTGGCCCCCCTGGCATGGCCCCCCGCCTCCACCACAATGGGCGCGCTAGTCCTCACCCCCCGGGCCCTGAGCCTGAAGGTTGCAGTCTTGAGTCGCAGATCGAGGTTGGTGGCAATCGCCGCCTCCTCGCTCACCCCCCCCATGTGGCGCTCCAGCTTGCTCAAAGCCTGGGTGGACATGTCCTTGCACAGTTGCGAGACGTCTGGCGAATGCAAGTTCGTATCAAGAACGTCAAGGAGCATGTTGTACTGCGGCACGACAGATCCCATAGTGGGGTACAAAGACCCCTCCACGAACGGGCTGATGTAGTCAAACGGCTCGAGGAAAGCACGCAGCTCGATGAGAGATGCCCAGTAAGCATCGGACAGACTGATCTCTGCCCGTGCCAAGCGTGTGGCCTTGGTGATGTTAGGCTGAGTGGGGGGAGAGAGGAAAGGGATGGAGAGGGAATGGGTTGGAGTGGAGGGGACATGGGGCCATAGATAATAATGGGGAAATGGGTAAATCCATAGTAGTGGTGGGGTATGGGTAGAAGTTAGAGCCCACATAAGATGCATCTGCCACTCATTCATTAAAAGAACATGCCCTTCAAAGTGGGTAAGGGATAGAGTGAACGGGACATGGAAAAATTCTTAGTGTTAACCCCATACTGATATGCTGATGCTGATGCGCTGATGGTGATGCTGATGCTGATGCTGATGCTGATATGCTGATGCTGATATGCTGATGCTGATATGCTGATGCTGATATGCTGATGCTGATATGCTGATGCTGATATGCTGATGCTGATATGCTGATGCTGATGCTGATGCTGATGCGCTGATGCTGATGCTGATGCGCTGATGCTGATGCTGATGCTGATATGCTGATGCTGATATGCTGATGCTGATGCTGATATGCTGATGCTGATGCTGATGCTGCTGATGCTGATGCTGATGCTGATGCTGATCCATAGTGTTAACCCCATACTTACGGTGGACTCATCGAAGTATATCGTGAGAGGGATGCGCAGATCCAACCCCCTCACCACCATCTCCAGTATGGAACCCCAACGCGTCTACGAGTCAACGATCAGGCGCAAGTCAGCAGGTACCTTCCGCGCGCTACTGCCCCCCTCTGCCAGCGTCGCCCCCCCCTCTACAGTGCCCCCCTCTACCTGCCTCAACCCCCCCTCTGCAGTGCCCCCCTCTGCCTGCGTCGCCGCACGGGTCGCAGCATACTGTCTCTAGATGTCAAAAAACGCTCCGATTGCTGCACCGACCACCCGATGTGGCTAACCACAGCTCGCAGCCTCCAGTGCGCCTCGGCAACCGTCCCAACCTCCATTGCGAACTGCACTGCCAGGTTCAGGATATGGGCCACGCACTTGAAGGGCAAGCAATTCCATAAAGAGAGGCGGTAAGATCCATAATGGTATAAGGGCATTGGGGTACTTCGCATTACACAACATGCTACTAGACACTTATTGCAATAGAGGATGCCACTTACTTGAAGTGCCGAGACAGGGACAGCAGGGGGGGGGGGGGGGGGGGGGGGGGGGGGGTTCGGGGACGTGACCCATGTGAGTAGTCAGGGACGCCGGCCAGCAGACGAATCGCCCGGTTGTTGTTCTCGGCGTTGTCCATAGTCATGCCGAAGAACTCACCACCACCCAATGCCCACTAGTCAATGCGTGCAGCAAGTGGCGTCGGGCGTTTTCGTCATGTTGCGCATGAGGATTTTGGAAGTCTTCAGCACGTGATGATCGTCGTTACTGTGCGCAAGGATTTCAGGTGGCTTCACCTGGGAAACAACAGCTGGCCAGGCATGCCAGGCGCATGGTGATTTGCGTCGGAAAATGCAACGGCGAGGAGAGACAACGTAAAGACTGCTCGAAGAAAGCGGGGGTCTACCGTCGTCCCGCCCGGGTGCATCTAGTGTGGTTGCAGGAGGGTGCGTCGTTGGCGTTTTTGGCAGAGCGGCATAGTGTGGGGCGGAAGTTGTTTTCCAAACCATCGAAAAGTTTAGAAAAAGCCGCCTATGACTAGACTATCTATTGTCAGGGTCACTTCTGCGCCTGCAACAAGATCAACGAAAATTTTGGAGCAATAGCAGCAGCCGACGTTCTACTTCAGGCAGCACAGTATCCTCTGATCAAGGGTAGTTGTGCCGCAGACAGGGCAATATATCGGCCGGACAACGATTTGGCGCAGTGTTTCGGGGGTTCTACCGGCTACAATATACCGAGTTGCGTCAAGTACTGGTCCACTGAGAGAAACGAATTCCGCGCTTCAGGAGGGAAGAAGACGACCTACCAAAAATGTCTTTTTGCTGATGCCGAGTTACGCGGCTAAGTGGCGGTAGCCGGATAGGGCCCAACTACTGACCAAAGTCTTACGACGTTTCACATACCCCACACCAAATAGCTTCGAAGGCGGCCTAAATGGTGACAGTCGTGGAGGGCACTGGACGAACAAAGCGGGGCCCTATGTCTAGCCCTGTGCTGGCTAAAATGCGCAGGTATTGCGCCAGTTCCACAGTTGAGCGTACAAGAAAATTTCAAGGATGCGACACTGTTTCGGCCCCGACAAAAACGGACCATCAGCAACAGTTACCCTGCCGAAAAAGTCGGAGCTGAAGAAGTTGGTGCAGCTGTCAGAGTTTTTCCGAATTCAACGGTCTACCCGACGGCGGTGTAGCGGCGAAGACGGGGTTTTTTAAGCTGTGGATTTTTAAGCGCGATAGACACGGTGGGCAACAAGCTGCAGGATGTGCGTTTGATATGATAAACTCGCTCCGATTACGATAGCGACGTGCCTTCACCAAACGTCATAAAAATCACGGGCAACACGGAGTTATACCTCATCTGAGAAATGCGACTGCTGGGTGAACGGTGGTTCGCCGATATTGTCGAGGGGTGAAGCAAATAAAGTAGGTGGGAGACGGGTGAACTTTTGCTCGCCAGAAGATTCGCGGTGTAGTTTAAAGTTACCTAGGGAAGTCGTAGGGCGAGATCTGCAGCGTTGATGCAGGCTATGTTCCATGAAATTCCGTCCCGGTAGACCCATACAGGGATGTCGACATCAGACGAAATTCGTCTGATGGTCTGAAAAGCAGACTCGTTAATATGGGTTCATCTGAATTTCTAGACAATGATACAATTTTCATCTGAATCATAAGATATGCAAAATATAATCATATGAATTTCCAGACCTACTTGTACACTTCATCTAAATTTACAGACAACAGCGATTCTTTCGTCTGAAACTGACAACTGCCCCATAAGCTAGCTGTCAGAATCCCAGTCACTAACCACTGGGATAAAAGGGCTTGTTTGTATAGCGGGTGAGTGCGCCCATAACCCCCCAGGCCGCCACGCGCCTGTAACCCTTCCCTAGGATCAATCGGGGATCACCAGTGGACCTCTGACACCCCCTCGCACTGGGATGCCCGAGGTGCACACACCGGGATTCGTCGCCACCTGCCCGCCGCGTCGCCCTGCCCGCAGCGTCGTCACCTGCCCGCCGCGTCGCCACCTGCCCGCCGCGTCGCCACCTGCCCGCCGCGTCGCCCTTCTCGCCGCGTCGCCCTGACCTAATCCGCCTCTCGCCCCTGGAGCAGCCGCCACTGCAGCAGCAGCCCCTGGAGCCGCCCGCCACTGCAGTAGCAGCCCCTGGAGCCGCCCGCCACTGCAGCAGCAGCCCCTGGAGCCGCTCGCCACTGCAGCAGCCGCCCCTGGAGCCGCCTGCCACTGCAGCGGCCCCCTCTGGAGCAGCACGTACCTGCAGCAGCCGCCCCTGGAGCAGCCCGCACCTGCAGCAGCTGCCCCTGGCCCCTGGAGCAACCACAGCTGCAGCAGCCGCCCCTGGCCCCTGGAGCCGCCGCCACTGCAGCAGCCGCCCCTGGCACCTGGAGCAGCTGCCGTCGCGGCCCGGCCTCGCCCTGCAGCAGCTGCCGCGGAGCTCCCTGCTACGGCCCGGCCCAGCCCTGCAGTTGTAGCGGCCCCGCTGTCGCCACCGTCTTGCGCCTGCCGCGCCGACCACTGGTGAGCATTGCCCAGCACTGCTACCGCTGCTACTGCTGCTACTGCCTTTTCTACTCCCACTGCTGCCGCTACTGCTACTACTGCTGCTCCTGGCGTGGCCAGATGCAGCTCCAGGGCCGTGCGCGTGAGTCCCTCACGCCCCAGCAGCTTCGTGCGCGTGAGTGGTACACTAGTCGGGGCTGTCGGGGTGGCCGTAGTGGTGGTCGCTCTGGAGTGGGTCGGTCGGGAGCTTCTGGTAGTGGACAGGTGCAGCTGCCGTGTCCTCCTTCGCCCCAGGTGCTTCGTGCGCGTGAGTGGTACGCTAGTTGGGGCTGTCGGGGTGGCCGTAGTGGTAGTCGCTCTGGAGTGGATCGGTCGGGAGCTTCTGGTAGTGGACAGGTGCAGCTGCCGAACTTATTCGAGGTCAAGAGAATCTTAGTTTTGTCGTGGGCTAGTAACGCGCGGGCCGTTGGCAGTGAATGTCGACCACTGGGCGTACAGAGTGGCAGTGGTCGTGTTCAGAATGGGCCGTTGAGTGAGCATTAGGGTGTACCACGGGATTTCGGTTGACTAACCGTATTCCGCGCTGACTTGGAACACAGTCGACTTTGCACGAAAGTCACGCTATTTAGCGTGATCATTTCGACACAGGTACAAAACGGTGAATACCGTTTTCCCAACGGTGAAATCCGTTTTACAATTGGGAAACGGGAATTCCACACGAGTATACATGATTACACACGAGAACTCATGAATACTCGTGACGGGAGTCAGCAGGGGAGTTTGGGTTCACTCCAAGTGGATTACAGTTAATTCTAATGAGGCAGATTGAGCCAAATTCCTCAGCAGTTTCACAACCGTTTTCTATTACAGCAAAGCGAAGGCCTGGATTCCAGTTAAGCAACTGCTTTATGTTTTCCTTTGTGTGTTTAGGACTTTATATAAATGTGTGCTTGTATTTGCTTCAAGTCAATCAATGCTATTACGCTTTTCAAGCTTTGAATTCTACTACTACGTATTGACGAGAGTAGAAACGTTAAAGTGGTGACGCCGAAACGCTGCTCGACCAGATTCCTCACTCCACAACTCAAGCAAGGCATAACTACTCACTTTGTATCTTTTATACCCTTGGCTATGAGG